GTAATGTCCTGAAAAGTCACCTTCTCCTTGTAATACCTATGTCATACCCTTGTCATTATACAAATTTATGTCCTCATTTGTCACAAAAACGCGCGCACACACACACACACACACACAAATCATACTTTTTGAAGCGTTGAAGGGATTATAAGTGTAAAATACATGCAAAACCACAAGATGTATTACAGTAAGTCACTGAAAGCACACAATAAAACACATCCGTTCACGACAATGTATCCGCGACAGAAACTGAACATCATGAAATAAAAATCTTTCTGTTTCATTATTTTTTACTGGTTGAACGAAAAACAAATATAATTCTGTATGAAACACTGCAACACTAATCAGACAAAACCATTTTTTAAAGTTTTCTATAGTCGGCATTTTGAAATATCTGCTAAATGTGTAATAAATGTATTTGAAGATTTTCCTGTAGTTGCTTATGAATTAGTAAATATTAAGGGAATTATTGCTCACCTGCGGTCTGTGTGTCCTCAAGTTTATTCCACTCTGACTCTCTCTGCTGCTCACACGAGCGTTTAAATAGAGGCTACAAACTTTCACTTTCAACATGACTCACAGTTCTTTATGTTGTAACAACATTTTTGACCAGCAGTTGGTGCTGTTACCAACCTGCAAATTTCCCCTACATTCCATAAAGACGATGACAGCGGCCTTAAAATATTACATAGATGCTACCCTTGTAATAGTGTACTTAATAAGTATATGCAAAATATTGAAAAAAAGTACTTTCTGTGATATAAAAGAGACCATTGTACATATTTTTTGTGAATGTGTTTGTGTTAATTTTTTTTGGAATGAGTTATGTACCTATCTCTCAGATAAAACAAATGTTAGAATATGTATCAACACTTTTGATATTATTTTCTTTTATTATAACTCTAACTTTTGGATTCAATATATTGTTAATCTTTTTATTATACTTCGCACATTTTTTATTCATAAGTGTACATTTTTGGGTAAGAACCCAGTACTGTCAATTTTTCTGGTTGACTATAATTCTTACGTTTTATCTTTGATGGACATAAAAAAACTAAAAATCATTCAAAAGTCAAAAATTGCTTTCAATGTTTAACCTTGTATAATTCCCCCCCTCTGGTTATTTATTTGTTTGTTCTTAGTTTTATTTATTTCGTTTATTTATTTATTTTTTACTTTCTATCTTGTATTATGTTTTGCATTTTGTCCTCTATTGTTTTTGAGGTTGTTGTGGTTATATGCTTGTTATTAAGTGTTTTGGCATTAATAAAAAAAAAGTAAAAAAAAAAAAAGATGACAGCGGCCATCAATAGGCTACATCAGGGCTGGGCAACTTCGGTCCTGGAGGACCACTGTCCTGAGTTTAGCTCCAACCAAGGGCGTAGTTTTGGTTTGAACATTGGTGGGGTTGAAGTGTGGACTGTTTTAGTGGAGTCCTGGGTCATGCTCCCTCATAAGGTTTATTTATTTGTTTGTTTGCTTATATGTTTATTTTTGTAAAATGGTCTTTTGTGCTATCATCCACACATGCAAAGATGGTTGATAACATAACTGCAATAAAGTAATAGCCTATTTAACAATAACTTGTTTACATTGGATGTATAATGTATTTTATATTATTTAGGCACTTATAGGCTATAGTTTGAGATGAAACATCCCACAGCTGCAGCGAAGACAGAAACCTTAGATCCAAGACCTGCTGTTGTGTCTGGTGCTGATGTTCCCGATACATTTGTGATCTTGACTTCCGCTGTAAAGGCACATTTAAAATCTTTTATAACATTGTTTAAATCAGAAACACAAATTCAGCCTGTCAGACTGCAGACAGTCAGATTCTCCACACAGACTTCACAATATGATTTTGCTGCTAAGAATCTGATGAAAACGGATTCTCTACACACGCAGACCAAATCTAAAATATCAAATATGATGAGATGTGACACTGCTTAGAAATTTTCTTATATGTTATCTTCTTGATGCTACACTATTTGTTGTCATAGAAAAAGTAAAGCTGCTTTTGAACGACATGCATTGTTAGAAACGCTTTATAAAGAAAACTGAACTCATTAGATAAACACTTATCCACCCACGAGAGAACCTGTCATTGCAAAATCTCTCCCTCATCAAAGGTAAACAGGTTTTTAATTGATTGCATCACCTCCAAATGCACCTTGAGTCGTTAAACCACGTCAAAATATGAATGCAGTTTGTAAAGATTTTCCATCAACACAAGCCACAACTGTTAAGTCTCGAGCGATGTGTTTCCAATGTTGCTTTAGAGTAAGTTTCACTCTAATAAACATGCATTTAAAATAGTTTTGGAATTATTGCTTTTGTAATGCAGTAGCAGAAGTACCACTGTGTCTTGCCAACATTTTTCGAGTCCCTCACCCCGTTGGACTCCAACTCTCTGTGTCATGTGACAGAGAAGAAGTCCAAGTATAAAGAGCTTGGCTGGTCCTGGAAGGTCTTGCACATCACTGTCTGTGCATATAAATATCAGTCATTAAAGGGATAGTTCACCCAAAAATGAAAATTTGATGTTTATCTGCTTACCCCCAGGGTTCAGTTTCTCGCACAAACCGATCGTTTCGTGTCTTAGGACGTCAATGTGTCGTCACGAGCCGCAGGGTTTAATTTGGATTTGTCTGTGCATGTTTTTTTTACTCTCATAGATTTTGTTACCATTGCCATGCATTATACGACTGATAGACTGCAACGGCTGGAGTTAAAAATCATAATTTGTGTTCTACCGAAGAAACAAAGTCACTTTCATCTTGGATGCCCTGGGGGTAAGCAGATAAACATCACATTTTCATTTTTGGGTGAACTATCCCTTTAAAAACATGTCACAAATTAAGACGTTATTGCTTGCTTATAATATATAACAGAATACATAATTGTTTCACATCAATTCTAATGCAAAAATATGATAATATGATACACAGGTTTGAAGAAGTTTCATTTGTCCATATTAATGATTTACAATTAATATGTACAAATGGTTTAACCAATAATATTCTATTTCTAAATCTCTTCTATTCAAATTTTAACAACATACATCTACAGAATTCCTGCAGAATGACACAAATGGATAAGGAATATATTCAGATCCTACGCATCAACTTGGGAAACCTCTGAGCAATGTTTCTGGAGAATGGTGTTGAATATCAAAAATGACATTTTTATGTGAGCTAAAGATTATCTGAGCCAATTTTGATGAAGACACATTTTCAAAAAGCAGTATCACTTCCATAAACTCTCGGAAATGTGTAGAAAAATCATGACCTGATCTAGAGTAAATCATATATATATATTATAGTAATTTTACACCAGTGACCTGAGAGAACCTGCTTATTAATGCAAAATCTTTTCCTCATCAAAGGCAAACAAATTTTTGATGCATCACATCACCTTTGCAGGCACATGAGCCGTTAAACCACGTGTCAAAATATGAATGCAGTTTGTATAACATTTTCCATCATGATTTGCAACATTACAAACAAATGTTTCCCATGTTGCTTTAGGGTGCTCTCTCTGTAATAACCATGCATTTAAAATGCTTTGGAATCATTGTTTTGTCATTTAGTAGAAGGTTCAATTACGTCTGTCTGTGTCCCGCTCACCTGTTTCCCTTTGTTTGTCTCCACTGCGCTCAAACTCTCTGCGTCACGCGGCAGGGAATCAGCCCAAGTCAGTCCTCAGTTGGCTGATAAATCATAGTAAAAGTATGATAATGATAATCATAGTCAGTTTGAGCTCAAGCCTGCAGCGCCAGTGCAGTGCATGAAGTAAAAGCTCTGAAAATGACCTACAAAAGCTGACCAATTGAAAAAAGTGGTTTAATATAATGCACACAATGTGGAAATATGGGAAGCATCATTAAATGTCAAATGAACAATTTTTAATTGATTGTAATATTAGGCTAAATCTTTCTTCTTCCAAATTTAAACTCCATAAGTGAATTTAAAGGCAGGGTATGTGATTTTTCAAAAACACTTCAGAAAACTGATTCGGGCCGAATAGCAAAACAAACTTGTAGCCAATCGCCGTTTTATTACCTACTAAAACCCAATAAATATCTTCACATGGGAATTTTGGTGTGATTCATTATAGAATTAAAAGAGAGGCTGTACAAACACGGACCGTACAGAACATTTTAGAAGTGAATTCATACAAAAGACCAAGACCATAGTGAAAGAATAAAGAAAGTTCAACGAAACAAAACTGTGTATTGTTTCCTTCACTTTCAGTTTATATATGAAGGTATTTTGGTGCGAAACAACTGAGCGTCTGTGACAGCGTAATTTGTAGTTGTAGAGAATAGCCCATTTGTATAATAGAATAACACATGTGTATCAGTAAATCTGAAGTCACAGACAAAAGTTGCAAACTTGTCGATTTTTTTTCACCCACAAACACAACACAACACACTCTAAAAAATGCTGGGTTAAATACAACCCAGGGCTGGGTAAAATGGGGACAAACCCAGCAATTGGGTTGTTTTGACCCAGCGGTTGGGTTACTACCCAGAAGGTTGGGTTAAGCATTTAACCCAACCGCTGGGTCAAAACAGCCAAATTTGCTGGGTTTGTCCCTATTTTACCCAGCACTGGGTTGTATTTAACCCAGCATTTTTTAGAGTGCAGTTACACCTTCTCAAATCCTTCATTGCAGGTGCACAAATCCTATTCTACGAATCACAAATCAAGAAACTTGTATGCTCACATGTTTTGCTACTATTGCTGCAGTGAATATGGTGCAAAACACATTCACACACCTGCATCAAAAAGTGAAGTCACAGACGAATTTTGTACATCCGCAAATCAGAATGTGAATTCTTGCAATGAGATTTGCACATTTGTAGAATGTTTTCTTACATATATAAATAAACACAGCTTATTCAAAACAGACATGGTATACAACACTGATGGAAATGTTTGTTTAATGATTATAGCATGCATGTGATATTTGTTGTTTTTAATGGTTTCAGTGCATTAACTAATCACCCTGAAAATGACCTTTAAAAACTCCTTTACAAAAGCTGACCTCTCAAAAACGTGTTTTAATATAATTCACGCAGTGTGGAAATCCAGTAATGCATCAAACAATCAATTTTGAAATCTAAAACAATCAAGAAGTTCAGACGGGAAGTTTGGTGCGTTTCATAATTCTTTGTTATTTATTTCTGTATTCTTCTAGGCCATCATAAAGAGAGGCTGTACAAACACAGTCCTTACAGAACTGTATACAAGCGAACCACATATGAAAGACCAGGAACAAAGTGAAAGAATAAAGAAACTTGAAAAAAGTCAACAAAATTTAGCGTTTCCTTCACTTTCAGTCGACAACAACATCAGTTTTGTCCTCATTTACATTATAACTAACAAGCAGCAATCCTCCACCAAGTCATGGAACGACGCTCGATCAACAACAAAACACGATGCATATAATCACCTCAGAACAAGACACAAGATGCAAATGAGAGCAGAAGAATTTCATGCCGTTTATGTACATTCAGGTGCTGCTTAATTAAAAATATAGTTTCATATGATAATCATATTAATCAAAGACGACAGATTTGATCAAAGCAGGACACGACAGACACTCAGCAGTCAGTCAGACGTGATGTGTGTGTTTGTATGTGCATATAGAGCAGTATATCGACACACACTGGACATTAAATCAACATTAAACATGAAAAGTAAACAAAATGACATAAATATGCGTACAAACACAAACCGAGCAACGCATCAGTGGAACTTTCCACTCTCGCTCTGGTTTCGTATGTTAGGCTGAAGACCGCGCTCTCTGCTGGTAGAAGAATGCATGGCAACAGTTACATTATATTCAAATGACACCTGAGCAGAGAATGGCTTTCCGACTTTATATTCACCTAAAACCGCACAAGACTATTCCACATCATGCTCTCTGGATATACAGCGCTGTATCGATCAGGTGGACTATATTAGATGTACAACAGCAGATTTCAGCAGTGAAATCAACACTGGCGGTTCACGAATTGAGTGAATCTCACAAAGCACACCCAGATCATGATTTTACACCAAAATCAAGACAAAAATGGGATATAAAATGTGTGCTTAAATGTCATGAAAATAATGTCTAATGTCACAATGCCAATATATATAAAAAAAATTAGGTTAAGATAAAAGATATTCAAGCTTATTTTAGGACAATTAAACAATAATAATAATAATGCATTTTATTTATATTGCCCTTTTCTCAAACCCAAAGCACCATTAAATAATATAAATATAATAGTCCTAAAAGTGGCCTTCAATTTCTTTACCTAAAATGTATATATCATAGTAGTATTTTTGTATTTTAAACAATGACAACTTCAAAAAGAATGTTATTTTTTTTTACAGTATTTTTGTCAGTCTAATACATTAAACAGAATATAAAGAGCATAAAATAATGGGAATTGCAAAATAAATGCAAATAAACAGAATCTAAAGAGCATGAAGTAATGGGAATTGCAAAATAAAATGCGTTTAATTGTCATGAAATAACATCTAATATATATATATATATATAAGAAATCTTTAATGGTCCTAAAAAATGTTTGTTTGACTTTAGAGTGAAATGTGACTTGGACACATTTTCTTGCGATATTCACCCAAGTGACTTTACAAAATTCATAAACAGATATATTTTTTTAAAACTTCTATTCCTCTTGTATTTCCTATCTGCCCTTTAAACTCACTGTAACATTGTAAGATACGTCCGCTTTGACTAAAGACAGCTCAGAGAGTTTGAGGAAATGTTCTTTTACACCATATTTACTCGTTGAAACATCACCTGATTATCGAAAGGATCCATGAAAGAAAAACCAATGCTTGAGACTGAAACGCGATGCCAGAATCTCGTCACCATGGTGAAAAACATGGTACATTCAACGGTTTCAAGCACCCGATTCATCATGTCACAGGAAGCCGCGTGCCGTGTAATTAAACATCCACATATGCGTTGATCACACAAACAGGCCTATGCTGAATATTGCATGTGGCAGTTTTTCATTTTGACACACCACATTCATTATAAGATTTAAAACATTCCTTAAATAGGTGATATATTTTGTGCATATACACACTCTCTCTCATCGATTACATAAGAAAGCAATAAGGGGAAGTGCGTCTTAAACACTGACTAACTGCGTTTAACAGGAGAAAGATGACATTCAGTGCGCTGCGTGGGTAACAGGTCCGTTTGACTCATGAACTACACACAGCCAGCCTCCTACCGACTTCAGCTTCTGTTGAACCGAACAAACACGATAGATTGTCACTAGTCAGCCATGCCGTACACAGCAGACAACATTCAGCCAAGAGAATAATGCAGAAAGACAAGGACGAGAAGCTAAAAGAGAGCATATTCAAGAAATGAACTATACAGACAAAGATACGCGTATCAGAAATCATTTTCTCACGCTGTTTTTTTGTCTTGTTTCTTTCACTAACATACATAAACATCCCTAAAATGTACTTTTGCATATTCTGCTTTCAGAGAAAACATCTTGGATTTTGCAAACTGATTTTTTTCCCGTTTTAGGCATAAATCTAGCTAAATTTTGTGAGGTTTCTGCCTAAAAACGTTTTGCCAATAGAACTTGTTTTCAGAGAATATATCTTGAATCAAGTTTATTTTTCTTATTCACAACAAAAATGCTAATAAACTTAATTCAAGATTTATCACAATTTTTTAAAATTAAATAGATCTCATTTTAATTTTCATGAAAAATATCTAAATATCCTTAAAATATACTCTTACATGTTAGAACTTCAGAGAATATATCTTGATTTAAGTTTATTTTAATTCACTTGCAAATAGTTTTTTCTTGTTTTAAACAGAAATCTAACAAAATTTAGAGAGGTTTGTGCTTAAAAATGAGAAAAATGTTTTTCAATGGGGTGAGAAAACATCAAGACATATGCAAAATTTGTTTCTCAACTAAATAGATCTAATTTTAATTGCCACTAAAAACATTTAAACATTCTCAAAATGTATATTTGCATACTGAAACTTGTTTTCAGAGTACATGTCTTGAATTCAGTTTATTTTTCTTAACTCATTCACAAATAAAACTTTTTTCTTTTTTAATCTAAACAATAAATCTAACAAAAATGGTTGAGATTTCTGCTTAAAAACGAGAAACTATTTTAATGATGTGAGAAAAACTTCTAGATTCTAGACACAGTATACAAAAAACTGTTTCTCAACTCAATTGATGTTTTAATTTTCAACAAAAAAAACATCTAGACACTCTTAAAATGTACTTTTGCATGCTCAAACTTGTTTTCAGAGAATATATCTTAAATTAGGTTTATTCGCAAATGGTTTTTTCCCCTATTTTAAGCATAAATCTAACAAAATTTGGCGAGGTTTGTGCTGAAAAACTAGGGAAAATACAATCTGTAAATCAAGTAAGAAAAAACTTCAATACACAAAATTTGTTTCTTAAATTAATGCATCTCATTTTAAGGATGTTTACATTTTTTTTTCAGAAAAAATACAAAATTGACTGAGAAAATGAGTTTTGCAGTGTGATAATACTTGGTGTTCAGTGCAAAAGACGTTTTAGGGCAAAACAGGGTTTTGCGGAGCAAACGGATGGTGAATTTAGTGACTTTGATGTCCCTGTGCATTATTGTACAAATACAGATCGCTAATGCCGAGAACAACATGAAGAAACAACTAGTTGCATACGGGCTAGTCAGCTTTCTGCTCGTCTACCGCTCCTAAACACCACACACAACAAGCATTGTGTTTCACCGTGCGAAATACACACATCTTAGACGTCGCTTTGTCGAGCGTTCGTACTTCTCCTGACCATCTTGAGCAGAATTGGTGAATTTTAATATGCATTGTAAACAAATGAGTTATTTCTACAAATGCAAAAACTAAAGACTTTCCAACACAATCATATCTTAAAGGTTCGACTTGGTGATTTGACTTGGTTGACTTGGTAGTGTGTGATGAAATGGCTTCGGGCGAGAAGTCGCAGAAGAAACCGAGAACTAGAAGGCAAAGGAAGGTTATGCGTTTCATATTTACGTTCCTCCGAATCCCAATCACGCTCTCCCGTCCAGATCCCATAGCACCTTGTGTTGTGACATCACCCAGCCATCAGCCAATCACAGAGTCCGATTCAGTCGGAATCTACACCCCTTCCTGATGGCACACAGAGCAGGAGGGCGCACACAGGAAAGAGAGAGACCTCACTTCCTCTCCAGTACAGCGAGCTTCCTGTGGATGGCGGTGGTGGCTTCACTTGCAGACGGCCTGCCGGTAGCTGTGTCTCTGGCCCTGACCGCGGGAGCAGCCGTTGTTTCCGTTTCCAGACAGTTCTTGTGCATCAGCGGCGATGCTTTGGCTCGCGCCGTCTCTGGTGCTGCAGGTCATACTGCTGCCCTGAAGCGTGGGGCTGGACTGAGCTCTCTGTAGCGCACCTTCCTCCAGGAGCATGGCCTCAAACACTGACAGGTCATCGTCGCCGCAGCGCTGCTTCGCCCGCAGGAGCATGCTGTACGTCTCATAGCGCGTTTTCTACGAGAGAGGGACGTTTTATTAACTTGATGAAAATGCATTCACCCTCAGGCCATCCAAGATGTAGATGAGTTTGTTTCTTCATCAGATTTGGAGAAATGTAGCATTCCATCACTTGCTCAGCAATGGATGCTCTGCAGTGAATGGGTGCCGTCAGAATGAGAGTCCAAACAGCTGATAAAAACATCACAATAATCCACAAGTAATCCACAGCACTCCAGTCCATCAGTTAATGTCTTGAGAAGCCAAAAGCTTTGTGTTTGTAAGAAACAAATCTATCATTAAGATGTCCATAATGCCTAATGTTGCTTTCTACAGTGAAAAAGTCGTTCACTGTTCACAGAGAAATCTGCACAGATCAAGCACTGTTTACAAGACAAAACAAATATGAGTAAACAAATATGTGAGTGGATTTTGATGTGAGAGGACAACAGTAAATGGATTTTTTCACTGGAGGAAGCGTTATTATGGACTCGTATTTTAGCCGGAAGCAGCTGGAATTCCTTAATGATGGATTTGTTTCTTACAAGCTTTTCTCTTCATAAGACATTAATAGATGGACTGGAGTGGTATGGATTATTGTGATGTTTTTATCAGCTGTTTGGACTCCCATTCTGACGGCACCCATTCACTGCAGAGCATCCATTGCTGAGCAAGAGACGCAATGCTGCATTTCTCCAAATCTGATGAGAAACAAACTCATCTACATCTTGAATGTAGATGTAGAATTGATCAAAAGTGACAAAGACAAGTATAATAATTCCACAAAAATATGAAGCAGCTGTTGTCAACACCGACAATAATCAGAAATGTTTCTGGATCAAATCAGCATATTAGAATGATTTCTGAAGCATCATGTGACACTGAAGACTGGAGTAATGATGCTGAAAATTCAGCTTTGATCACATTTTACCAATACATTTAAATAGAAAATACCGTAGTTGTAAGTATAGTCCGAAAATAGTTAAATTGTAATAATATTTCACAATATTACTGTTTTTACTGTATTTGTGATCAGATATATGGTGAGCAGAAGAGACTTCTTTCAAAAACATTAAAACATATTACCAATCCAAACTTTTGAACGATAGTGTATATATTTACCTCAAACTCCAGATACTCCTCTCTCAGCCGGTACTCCTCGAGTTCACGACCTTTCACCTTTCTGTCAGGCGGATAAGAGCGCAGTTGTGCAAGCTCAGTGGAGATGGAGCGAAATCGAGCTTCATGAGCCTGTACCTGCTCCTCCTACACACACACACACACTTTATAACACTGCAGCTTATATAAACACAGATACAAGCACACATACAGCACATGCACAGTCACTCTTATGAATCATAACAAGCCTCCTTGCTCTCTACTGCCTACATAGGTAGCTGTCTTTTAAGGAAGCATCCTAACTGAAATCAATAAGTGATACATGTCATGGAAATGGGCATCATGTAAATAGGTAAAATAATTATTAATATTTATTAACTAATTATTTGATAAAATATATTACTCTTTACAACAAGGTTTCTTTTGTTAACATTAGTTATCTGTATTAGTTAAGATGAACTAATGATAAACAATACTTCTATAGCATTAATTCATCTTAGTTAAGGTTAATTAATGTAGTTAACTAATGCTGACAAATTAAACCTTACTGTAAAGTGTTCCGTTTATTCATATATATTTATTGCTATATTCATCATATTATTTATTATTATAGGACTTTATTAAGTCTTTAAGTATGAAGACTTATAACGAAAACATTTGTGACAACTTTTATGCAAATCAGCTGATTTGACCTGTGACAGCTTGGAGGCGGAGCCTGGCAGCAGCGGTCGACTGAATTTCTTCTGTGAGCCAATGGCAGCAGGGAGGGGCGGGGCTGAAAACATGGCCGCCACCGTGTTGATGCGTGTGATCCAAGACTGCATTTGTTCAGCATTCCTACACAAACAAATCAAATCCATGTTAATAATAATAATAGAAAACATCTAAAACAAGTACCAGACTGCAACATTTTCTTCTCTTCATTATTAGTAATAATGTATAAACCTTTGAAGACAGACGTACAATGAGCTCTGTAGTTGGTACAGTGGTGGCCAAAATGATTAGAACACTAGTATTTTCAGCAACTAAAAGTGGTTTTAAGTCAGTTATTTCTATCTTTTGCTGTAGTGTGTCAGTAGGAAATATCAGTTTACATTTCCAAACTTTCATTTTGCCATTAATTGTTATAATCCAGTGAGATTTTTTGTCTGACAACAGCCAGAGCTCCACACAGAGATCTGATCTGATCATCATCAAAATCAATAAGTGATACATGTCATGGAAATGGGCATCATGTAAATAGGTAAAATAATTATTAATATTTATTAACTAATTATTTGATAAAATATATTACTCTTTACAACAAGGTTTCTTTTGTTAACATTAGTTATCTGTATTAGTTAAGATGAACTAATGATAAACAATACTTCTATAGCATTAATTAATCTTAGTTAAGGTTAATTAATGTAGTTAACTAATGCTGACAAATTAAACCTTACTGTAAAGTGTTCCGTTTATTCATATATATTTATTGCTATATTCATCATATTATTTATTATTATAGGACTTTATTAAGTCTTTAAGTATGAAGACTTATAACGAAAACATTTGTGACAACTTTTATGCAAATCAGCTGATTTGACCTGTGACAGCTTGGAGGCGGAGCCTGGCAGCAGCGGTCGACTGAATTTCTTCTGTGAGCCAATGGCAGCAGGGAGGGGCGGGGCTGAAAACATGGCCGCCACCGTGTTGATGCGTGTGATCCAAGACTGCATTTGTTCAGCATTCCTACACAAACAAATCAAATCCATGTTAATAATAATAATAGAAAACATCTAAAACAAGTACCAGACTGCAACATTTTCTTCTCTTCATTATTAGTAATAATGTATAAACCTTTGAAGACAGACGTACAATGAGCTCTGTAGTTGGTACAGTGGTGGCCAAAATGATTAGAACACTAGTATTTTCAGCAACTAAAAGTGGTTTTAAGTCAGTTATTTCTATCTTTTGCTGTAGTGTGTCAGTAGGAAATATCAGTTTACATTTCCAAACTTTCATTTTGCCATTAATTGTTATAATCCAGTGAGATTTTTTGTCTGACAACAGCCAGAGCTCCACACAGAGATCTGATCTGATCATCATCAAAAGCTGCTTTAAACGCAAAGACTTAAAACCATTTTTTAGCTGCTGAAAATACTAGTGTTCTAATAATTTTGGCCACCACAAATGATGAAATGGACCAGTGTGATAGATATTTTTGTACAAAAATTCTTACTACATATCATCCTAAAACAGTTCCACCAATCTGAGAAGTCAAAGAATCACAGTAAAACAGCAGATGAAGTGTTTTTATATGTAGAAATGCAAACACACACACACACACACAACATTTTCCAGCACAAGCAATGAGAGCTGAAACTGGGGCAAACTTCAACTAGAGCAAAGCGAGTTCTCCTGGGGAACGGGAATGTGTGTGAACACACACACACGCTGAGCCTCATGCTGTACAAATGATTTATGCAGTCATTTTTTCCAGTTAAATCTTAATTTTTGTTTTTGTATAGAAGCATATGCACATGTGGTTAGCAAGCAATTTTCACAACTGTGTGACACAGACTTGTCAATATGAATTCTCATTTATCTACTAAGATAATTTTGCAATGCTATCAGGTTATTATAATTAAATAAAACTAAAACCATAAAAACAGTTTTGCTCCTTGAAATAAAATAACCTTTAACTGACATAAATTAAAATATAAAACACTTTAAAAACACTATAAAAAACTTTTTTATTTCAGCTAGTTGCCAAGGCAACATTTGTGCTTTTCATTTAGTTGAACTTGATGTACTAAAATAACTCAAACTAAAACTTAGAAAATAAAAATATATAGACATATTAAATTTTTTTTTAAAACTAATAAAAAAAAAAAAAACACAAGTAAATCTAACTAAAATTAAAATGAACTGAAATAAAAATAAAAATTATGTTGACATAAAAAGATTAAAAATTATAAAAACAGAACAAAAGGACTACAACGAACTAAAATTAAAATAAACTGAATTATAAAAAATAAAATCTATGTATACATAAAAAGATAAAAATAATAAAAATATTGCAAAACAAAATGACTAAAACTTTAACCTAAATTAAAATGAAAACACAAAATATAAAAATTAAAAATATTAATAACAACAATAATAGTATATCACAATGTATTTCCATATTAAGCAGAATATTCAACTAGAACATCATAAAATGTAGGACGAGACTTGATTTTATTGGATGGTGAATTGATTGTGATGTCTCTAGACGAGAGGAGGTCAGAGAGAAGCCCATGAAAAATAAGCTTCATGGCATCAAATGAAAATGGAAAATCATTCGATAATAAGTTGAAATATTACATTCTGATGACTGTGGCATGTTTTCGGTGTGTGAACTCACGGAGCCTGAAAGAGGTAGACTCTCCAGTCAGCGGTCCGGAGGTAAAACACGTTTGGCCGTTTGCTGTAGTCTGTGGCTCTGATGGCCAGCGAATGATGAATAGACACCGCATTCTTCAAATCCTCATCCAATAACGGTTTATCTGGCTGATACTCACCCTGACAACACAATTATCCAGTTATTACTCAAAACATGCATGCCTTCTCATAATTACTGATTTATTGATCATACTGCCATTCTACTCATTACATACAGTATACTACCATCAAACTGTTTATATATATAAAAAATACAACATCATTTGGGTATATTTCAAATACAGGCAAAAATATATTATTTGTTTAAAAGGCACAAAAATATCTTTAAAAAAAGTTTGAAGTAATGGTGACTGAAGACTGAACTAATATTGTCAAAACTCAAAAGCGCTGTTTTTGTTCTGAAGTCAACAGAAACAAAATTCAAGAATAAAATTCATATCAATCACACACACACATAAACACACATGTGGAGGGATCTGATTAAATAAATATATAATTAAATGATTAAATATGTCACAGAATGAAAAAAAAACCTACAATGTAATGTCAGCATAGACGCATCAATACAGCATGCAATACATGTATTGTTTCATGTAAAATGAAAAAGAATGTGAAATATGCCTTACAGTGAAAAACCTCATAAAATACCAAAATCAAATGCACCTTGAGAATGTAGCGAACAACAATAAACAAATAAATCAATGGTGAAGTAATTGAAAACGTAGAGACATTTTGCAATCAATAAATAAGAAATGAAATAAAATAAAATGAAAAGTAGGAAGGAAGGAAGAAAGAAAGAAAGAAAGAAAGAAAGAAAGAAAGAAAGAAAGAAAGAAAGAAAGAAAGAAAGAAAGAAAGAAAGAAAGAAAGAAAGAAAGATGTTCTAATAATTTTGGCCACCACAAATGATGAAATGGACCAGTGTGATAGATATTTTTGTACAAAAATTCTTACTACATATCATCCTAAAACAGTTCCACCAATCTGAGAAGTCAAAGAATCACAGTAAAACAGCAGATGAAGTGTTTTTATATGTAGAAATGCAAACACACACACACACACACACACAACATTTTCCAGCACAAGCAATGAGAGCTGAAACTGGGGCAAACTTCAACTAGAGCAAAGCGAGTTCTCCTGGGGAACGGGAATGTGTGTGAACACACACACACGCTGAGCCTCATGCTGTACAAATGATTTATGCAGTCATCTTTTCCAGTTAAATCTTAATTTTTGTTTTTGTATAGAAGCATATGCACATGTGGTTAGCAAGCAATTTTCACAACTGTGTGACACAGACTTGTCAATATGAATTCTCATTTATCTACTAAGATAATTTTGCAATGCTATCAGGTTATTATAATTAAATAAAACTAAAACCATAAAAACAGTTTTGCTCCTTGAAATAAAATAACCTTTAACTGACATAAATTAAAATATAAAACACTTTAAAAACACTATAAAAAACTTTTTTATTTCAGCTAGTTGCCAAGGCAACATTTGTGCTTTTCATTTAGTTGAACTTGATGTACTAAAATAACTCAAACTAAAACTTAGAAAATAAAAATATATAGACATATTAAATTTTTTTTTAAAACTAATAAAAAAAAAAAAAAAAACACAAGTAAATCTAACTAAAATTAAAATGAACTGAAATAAAAATAAAAATTATGTTGACATAAAAAGATTAAAAATTATAAAAACAGAACAAAAGGACTACAACGAACTAAAATTAAAATAAACTGAATTATAAAAAATAAAATCTATGTATACATAAAAAGATAAAAATAATAAAAATATTGCAAAACAAAATGACTAAAACTTTAACCTAAATTAAAATGAAAACACAAAATATAAAAATTAAAAATATTAATAACAACAATAATAGTATATCACAATGTATTTCCATATTAAGCAGAATATTCAACTAGAACATCATAAAATGTAGGACGAGACTTGATTTTATTGGATGGTGAATTGATTGTGATGTCTCTAGACGAGAGGAGGTCAGAGAGAAGCCCATGAAAAATAAGCTTCATGGCATCAAATGAAAATGGAAAATCATTCGATAATAAGTTGAAATATTACATTCTGATGACTGTGGCATGTTTTCGGTGTGTGAACTCACGGAGCCTGAAAGAGGTAGACTCTCCAGTCAGCGGTCCGGAGGTAAAACACGTTTGGCCGTTTGCTGTAGTCTGTGGCTCTGATGGCCAGCGAATGATGAATAGACACCGCATTCTTCAAATCCTCATCCAATAACGGTTTATCTGGCTGATACTCACCCTGACAACACAATTATCCAGTTATTACTCAAAACATGCATGCCTTCTCATAATTACTGATTTATTGATCATACTGCCATTCTACTCATTACATACAGTATACTACCATCAAACTGTTTATATATATAAAAAATACAACATCATTTGGGTATATTTCAAATACAGGCAAAAATATATTATTTGTTTAAAAGGCACAAAAATATCTTTAAAAAAAGTTTGAAGTAATGGTGACTGAAGACTGAACTAATATTGTCAAAACTCAAAAGCGCTGTTTTTGTTCTGAAGTCAACAGAAACAAAATTCAAGAATAAAATTCATATCAATCACACACACACATAAACACACATGTGGAGGGATCTGATTAAATAAATATATAATTAAATGATTAAATATGTCACAGAATGAAAAAAAAACCTACAATGTAATGTCAGCATAGACGCATCAATACAGCATGCAATACATGTATTGTTTCATGTAAAATGAAAAAGAATGTGAAATATGCCTTACAGTGAAAAACCTCATAAAATACCAAAATCAAATGCACCTTGAGAATGTAGCGAACAACAATAAACAAATAAATCAATGGTGAAGTAATTGAAAACGTAGAGACATTTTGCAATCAATAAATAAGAAATGAAATAAAATAAAATGAAAAGTAGGAAGGAAGGAAGAAAGAAAGAAAGAAAGAAAGAAAGAAAGACTCACTTTCTGCAGGTAAAGGATGCGTCCCTTAAGAACAGCATAAAATGTTTTCCATCCTCTTTTTCCACGAGGTGCTGCATTACACATGAAAAATGACACAAATGCAAACAGCCTTTTATTATGCAGGGAAATGGATAAAATATATCAATACATCACTCTAGACTAATGAATTAATTTTCATTGCTAGACATTTTTTGCGCCTCTTTGTAAATTATATTATTTGCATTTTGTGACACTGTATGCTATTGTTCAACAACATTAAACTAAACATATATAACATATGTGACCCTGTATGGGATTACATTTCTGCCGCAATTCTGCGCGCGAAAGATCATATTTTGAACGCGCAAAAGTGCGTTTTGCACGCGCGCGAACTGAGTTTTGTGGAGAAAATGTTTGTCTCGCAAAGAAGAAAGTATTTCGAGCGCACGAAAATCAATTTTGCTTTTAAAATAAGTTTTTGGATGTGTGCCGACCTTCTCTTTTGCGCGTGCAACGTTTCACTAGCTTGCTCACCTGATGCCCACCCTCTGTGCTCGCTAAATGCCAACAGCTCGCGTGCTCAACACAAATATTTTGAACGCGCAAAAGTGCGTTTTGCACGCGCGCGAACTGAGTTTTGTGGAGAAAATGTTTGTCTCGCAAAGAAGAAAGTATTTCGAGCGCACGAAAATCAATTTTGCTTTTAAAATAAGTTTTTGGATGTGTGCCGACCTTCTCTTTTGCGCGTGCAACGTTTCACTAGCTTGCTCACCTGATGCCTGCCCTCAGTGCTTGCTAAATGCCAACAGCTCTCGTGCTCAACACAACCCAGCGTTACAATATGCCATAATTCCAGACAATCAGAGACTAGGCTGCTACTTTGGTTTTCTTTTCCTTTTCTAGATAATTTGAGCAAAAGCTATAACTCATGCTGCTTTGAAAGCCCTGCTATTGCATATCTAGTGTTCTTTAAGCTGAAATACAATAAATCTAAAATAAAAGTTTTTATTATTTTAAATATTATTTTTGAAATTCAAATATTTAAATTGACATTTTATTTTACTATAACTAAAAGAAACCTTATTAAAAATTATAAAAGTATAGCTTTTATTAAAAACTAAAATTTGTAAGTAAAACTGAAATAAACAAATTATATATTATACACACACTTAAAAATTAATAATAAAAATGATAAAAACAACAAAATTACAAATAATTCAAATTTTAACACAACTACAATAGTAGGCTATATTAATGATACTAAAATACTTTAGATGTAAATAAATAAATAGAGTACAAATCAGTGTTATTTTAGTATAATTGAGATATTATATATAGTTATCGTTTTTAATATTTTCATTTAGTTTTATTAGTTTTCATTTTAATTTTAAAGTTGTAGGTTTTTGTCTGTTTTTATCATTTTTTAAATATGTTTATACAATTTTTATTTCTGTTTTAGTTTGACTTATTTTAGTATACTTAGTGTTACGGGTCTCTTCCAATAACTAACACTAAATATTAAACACGTAATTGCATAATTCATCCTGTACTGTTGGCATTACAGACATGAATGGCTCCTCAAATCATGTAGCTTGACGAGAATATTGAAACAATTCATTGGCTTTACTTTTCCTTTTCTAGATATTTTGACCAAAAACTGCATCTTACACAGCTTAGAAAGCATTGCTATTGCCGTTTGGAAATGCACATCTAGTGTTCTTTATGCTGCAGTCACTGTGTGGAGAAATGCAGCGAGTTTAAAGACTACAGGAGTTAGGATTCAGAGTCTCTATCGGGCTCACTGTGATATTTGGGGCCTGTCTCGCTGCATGTCCCAACTAGAGTGAATAAAAGTCTTTTCCCGACAGTCTTCACTCCCGCCGATCATAACCCCCCGAGTGCGGCAGACACTATCGATCGAGTGCGTGTTGAAGTAAAGTGCTCTTCCAGCTGGTTTCTCTCTCACATCTGCCACCGCACAAATCAGATCAAAGACTCGATCGCACAGGCCAAACTATTATGGCATGCCACTGCGAGACGACCGCAGGTTAAATGGATGGGTGTTTTAAAGCCGTCATACTGTGAAAAATCGAATTCTCCTTGTATTTTTGGAAACTGAAGTGTTCGATGTACTATTTAGACTTACTTTAACGTCACTTTCACCAACCATGAGCACATTCAAGTCAATTGCAGATGGAAAAAAAAAGCAGGTCCCGCCCTACTTTTTGGTTAAATATCCCTTTTCATTTGGAAATGATGGAAGCAAATTGCGCTACAAATGCCACTTCATGTTGATTTGAATATATGACAGCAAGCATTTACATATCAAGGCATATTTAGTATGCTGCATGATGAATGAGCCAAATAAAAACTGGCCATTTATATCTAGAAGTCTTAAAAGAACAGTTGCAAAAACAGGTGTAAATTGAATAATAAAAATGCTTTTAGTGCAAGAAACCTTGACTAACATTTCTAATACATTTAAAAGCAGGGTGATTATAGTTCAGTGGTACTAAAACTAAAAACATTTTTGTTGCTTGAAATAAAAATGAATTGAACTAAAATAAAACAAAACTTTAATTTTAGTTCTAAATTTTATTTGACTAAAATGAAAATTAACAATTAAAAATGATCAAAATTTTAGCTTTTATTAAAAACTATGCATTTTAATTGACTAAAATTAAATTATATATTATACACACACTTAAAAATTAATAATAAAAATGATAAAAACAACAAAATTACAAATAATTCAAATTTTAACACAACTACAATAGTAGGCTATATTAATGATACTAAAATACTTTAGATGTAAATAAATAAATAGAGTACAAATCAGTGTTATTTTAGTATAATTGAGATATTATATATAGTTATCGTTTTTAATATTTTCATTTAGTTTTATTAGTTTTCATTTTAATTTTAAAGTTGTAGGTTTTTGTCTGTTGAAATGAAAAATTATTTAAAAACTATATAGGCATATTTAAAAAAAATAATAAAAATGATAAAAAACACAAAACTACAAATAAAATGAATCCAAAATATTAATAAAACTATAATCGTATATTAATGACACTAAAAACTACTTTAGAGAGATAAAAATAATAAAAACAAAAATAAAAGTGTTCAGTGTTATTTTAGTATTATTGAGATACTATTATAGTTTTATATTGTGAATTACTTCTTTTTATAGTTCATTTTAATTTTAGATAAAGTTTTAGTATTTTTTTTGCCTGTTTTATCATTTTGTAAGTTTTTTTTTCACAGTTTTAGTTATTTTAGGACATTAAGTTAAACTAAATGAAAACGAGAAATGTTGCCTTGGCAACAAGCTGAATTTTACTTTATATCAGTTAAAGTTTCTTTTATTTCAAGTCATTTTTATGGTTTTAATTTTAGTTAACTATAATCACCTTGGCACTAATGTACTCAGAAAGTGTCTTGTACGGGCGCTTTGAAGCAGGAGTGTGGATGTGTGAATGTTCCTGTCTTTTATGAGATCTCTCGCCACATTCTGTACACTCAGAGGTGTAATAAGTGAAGTGACGTGACATGTGGCCAAGTATGGTGACCCATACTAGGAATTAGTGCTCTGCATTTAACCCATCCAAAGTGCACACACACAGCAGTGAACACACACACACCGTGAACACACACCCGCAGTTGGGGGTTCGGTGCCTTGCTCAAGGGCACCTCAGTCGTGGTATTGAAGGTGGGAGAGAGCGCTGTACATTCACTCCCCCCACCTACAATCCCTGCCGGTACGAGACTCGAACCCGCAACCTTTGGGTTACGAGTCCAACTCTCTAACCATTAGGCCACGACTTCCCCCGAATATTTCTCCTGAACACACACATCGATTGACTGAGGTCGCTGAAGAGACCCCTTTAATGGTGTGTTTCTCAGAGAAAGGACACACATCACACTGCCGTCCCGTCCGCGTGATGTTTCTCAGGGGAGAGAGACGCTCGCCGAGCCCCTGCAAAGAAGCCAACTGGAAATCACGAGACACGGCGCCACAAAGAGCCCAAAACCTTCAGATCACCTCCACAAACCAGCAGCTTTCCAGCCAGCATTAGCACAAAAATACAGTTTCTTCCTCAAAACCATGTCGCTACAAAATACACAAAATAAAAGTTAGAAATAATGCTACTGTTTAACCCTTAAAAATTCAACTCTATGAGCCAATGAAGGTTGTTTTTTTTTTGTTTTTTTTTACTTCAATTCGTATTAATAGACATCTAAAAATAACCTCAAGCTTTTTTTTTATTTATATTTTCATCTAGAAGACATTAAGCTCTACCATATGGTTTTAAATTTGCAGAACTATTTCATGACCTTTTTTTCTTTAAATAACAAACATACCTTTTTTTGTACCTTTATTAGGTCAGATACATTTCATGATTTTCAGAGTCAACAAAAATTAAAATGTATTCAAAAAGTCTGCTGTACTGTATATTGCGGTTAACATAATATCCATGCCATGTTTAGAGATTTTAATTCTTTTTTTTTTGTATTATTCAGGAACAATGTCTTAAATCATTAATTTTCCATAAATAAATAAAAGTATGTGTAAATAAAAGTAAAAAAAATAAAAATAAATTCAATTCAATTATTTCAGAAATGTAAATAATTTTAATTAGTAATTATTTGTATTCCAAAGAATTAGATGTTTTTAGTAATTTTGCTTTAGTTCTTTCAGGTACAAAGTCATTATTTGTACAAAAAATTAAAAATAAATAAACTATAAACAAATAAATGCAAACAGACTTCATCAGTAAGTGAACTGTGCATCAGTTTAACTATTTCAGGACTGATGCAAACATTTTCTAGTTTTCAGAAGTGGCAGCTATAAAACATTTCTCATTTTCATTTTAAGTTAAAGTATTAAAATAACACTAAAACTGAAATAAAAATAATTCAAAACTATATAGACATTTAAAAAAAAAAAACAACAACAAAGTTTTTAAATAATAAAAATTACAAAATCACAAAACTTCTTTACCTTTAACTAAAACAAAAACAGAAAATAAAACATTAATCAAAACTATAATAGTATATTAGTATTATGGTGGTGATATTTTGCCCGTGCAAACACCATTCACATTTACTTTGTGAGTAAAAACAAATCTTTTTTTCTTATATAAAGTCTGTTTAATGTCTTAATCTATTCCAATTCTGAATCTCTCAGATGTCTGAATGGCCTTCTTGATCCAATTTCTGATATTATCATTAAATGATCACATGACAACACTGCGTTCATAAACAGCATTCAGATGACACAAGAAGAAACAAATTATTTGGAAAGCAGCCTGATTATGTGTGCGCTGCTCTAAAATGGGTGAAAAACATCGGTCAATCACTCTCACACTGAGCATGTGCGTAAAACTTCAAGCCTGTTGCCTGGTAACTGTCGGCACAAGAGGGAGGGAGAGAGAGGGAGAGGGAGAGAGAGAGAGGGAGAGAGAGAGAGCAATGATCGGAGGACTGATGGAGAGAAAAAAAACACAACCTTAAGAATACATTTAGCCAGAGCCATTACAGCAGGACTGATGGTCTTGCCGATGGCCACACAGAGAGACTAATGACACTAATCACACGACTGACTCCAGATCAGATCAGCAGACAGAAACAGAGTTGAAGCAGATGAAGGGAACAGACAGCAGGGTGAAGCATGTAATCAGGAAAGGGCAGAATGAATAGATTCAGAGAGCGGCATGCTGGGAAAACAGCAGCGCCTGTTGAGGACAGAACGATTCTCATGTATAGACTGATCATCTGATCATATGTATGCTGACACACACACACACACACACACACACACACAACCAGCTCTCTAACACACTGTAACTCTCATCCTCTCACAATGCAAATGTCCATCTCTCTGTTTTTCAGCGTTGCTTCTTTGTATTCTTACAGTAGGTGAGCTCAGCAGCAGATAGCAGCGGATCTGAACATGCTGCATGTGTCTACTGTCTTTTCTTCCCTGTTTGTTTCTTCACTGACTGTAAACAGCTCAATTCCTGCACCTCCATCAGTACAGCTCTTTCCTTTCCTCTAGAATCGGTCTCTCTGTCCCAGTCTCGCTTCGTTTTCTCTCTCTCTCAGACGTGATAAAATGACTTGATTATTGATCATTATGTGACATTGTGATGAATACAGTGCATGAGATTGTTGTGTGGGTAATAGCGGTTCATTAACACTCCTGGCTGACGAACAGCATGGTTTATTCAGGCCAGTAAGGCAGATTTTTACTTGCCCTGCCAACATTAAAAAAAAAATAAAAAATAAAAATGCATTTAATGTTTTATATGTGGAAGCCTTTTCTAATATTTTTCATTGAACCAAGATGTTGTTACAAAAAGCAAAACTAAGCTGAATTTTCAGCATCATTACTCCAGTCTTCAGTGTCACGTGATCTTCAGAAATCATTCTAATATGCTGGTTTAGTTGTGCTGCTTCATATTTTTTTGGAAATCTTTTATGAATAAAACGTTAATGTTTATAAAATGCTTAATATATCATTATAAAATGCATACATACATAAAGTATGACGTATCGTGTGTAATAAAAGCAAATTACAATAATATCTGGAAATTATGAGCACTACTGTTCAAAAGTTTGTTTGTAATTAATATTTAGTTCATAAAGGATGCATTAAATTGATCAAAAGTGACAGTAAAACATTAAAAAATACAAAAATAATACAAAAGATTTCTACTTCGAATAAATGCTGTTCTTTTGAATGTTCTATTCATCAAAGAATCTTGAAAAATAAAACGTATCAGTTTCCACAAAACAAAAAAGAATAAATACAAATAATATGAAGCAGAACAACTGTTTTCAATAATAATAATAATCAGAAATGTTTCTTGAGCAGCAAATCAGCATATTAGAATGATTTCTGAAGATCACGTGACACTGAAGACTGGAGTAATGATGCTGAAAATACAGCCTTGCATCACAGAAATAAATTCTATTTTAGATTATATTCAAACAGAAAAAAGCATTTTTAAATTGTAATAATATTTCACATTTTTACTGTATTTTTAATCAAATGCAGCCTTGGTGAGCAGAAGAGACTTCTTTCAAAAACATTAAATCTTACCAAGCCCAAACTTCTGAATGGTCATGCATATGTGATCAAAATGACTTTTCACTAGGTTGAATTAAATTGCACTTATATGAAAAAAATTAAAATATTTTACTGCTCAAACTCATGATTGACCAATTGAGAACGAAGTATACCAGCTATACAATCACAAACACACTTTTTGGTAGACAACGAAGCCATCCAATGCAAAACATACAGATCTGTTTGTCTTTTTGAACTCCTATCAAATGCATGCAAGTCATTCCCATAATTTTGACAAAAACCTCTTCTACGTACGTCAGCTGGCTAGACAACGCTACCTTGGTGGCTCATTAAAATCAGCAGAATTCACATCCTAATATTGCAACTGTAGCATAAAAGCAAGAACCCATCTCTATGTTTGAGCGGCTCGATACGGACGGGCCGGCGTTTCTCAGCTGCGCTCTTGTTCATGAGCTCAGAGAGGGACAGATGAGGCTATTTCGGGAGCTGCAGTAGGAGTCTGTGGGTTCACCTTTGCTCAGGATGCGAGCGGACACTTTAAAGAGCGCTGTGGTGTGTGTGGGCGCGTGGATGAGTGTTGAACATGAGAACGAGGTTAGGGCTCCGTGAGAGAGAGAGGGGGTGAATACATATCGATGAAACGCAGCCGAGCCGTAACTATGCAGCGGTATCCATGGAGCCGTAACCATAGCAACAGCGCTCAGAAAGCCAGGGTCTTTAATTGGTGTGCGTGTGTGTGAATATAGAGAGAGAATAGGCAGCACTCACACACTATTGTTTCTAGCAAAACAACACACGGATCCAACGCCTCGAACACTAAAACCTGCTTTCCTTTCACTATTTATGGCATTTCCTCCTATGACATCACTCGTATCTTTCATCCTTGTGAAAATTTACTATGGCAGTCATTTCATTATTATTACAGTTATAAAGCATCGCTATTAAACAAAGAAATTACTTTCCAAGTGATTGAACATGCAATTTCGTCCTGCTAGATGATAAAATGAGCAAAATGTCTGATAGACACTGAATATCTAGACACTACAAAAGCATAGAGACTTGGATAAACACATATACCCAATACAAATATTTAGGCCTAAATTTAAGATTTAAATATTGCACGTAACTTAAAAAAAAATAAAAATAATAAACTTTAAAATGAACTTTAAGTTAAATAAAATATATAAAACTTATTTTATTTCACATTTAATTCCAAGGCAGTGTATCTCATTTTTCATTTAGTTTAACCTGATGTACTAAAATAAGTAAAACTAAAATAAAAAATAAAAATAAAAAAAACTTTTTAGATACATTAGAGAAAAAAAACACAGCACAATTACTAAAACTTTAACAAAAATTAAAATGAAAAAAAAATGAAAAATAATAATTAGAATTATAACAGTATCACAAATGTTGTATATTTGATATGCATATACAGTAACATTTCCAACATTTTGGATTAAACAATTTTAACATAAACCAATAATTAAACTCAATGTGAAGCATATTTGTCAGTCATATAATAACAAAACAGTTCAGAATTCTGTAACCGTACAAATAAACCAAATGTGTTCATATATCTATCATTGATATATTCAATTAGTCTCTCACCTCATACATTTTAATTTAAGTAATATTGATTAATATTAATATTTAATTAACATTGCTTAATTCTTTTCACATTAACAGATTTATGTTGACAAATATGCATCCCATTAAATGTATTAGTCTGTTCAAGGTAAAACTGTGTGGAAATGTTGTATGTAATTCAAATACATAAACCTTAAATTTAATATTTTTTTGACTGCAACTGAAATGCAATACGCTAAAAACAACTCGGAACATCTTAGCAACTTTTGCATGAGCAAATACTCACTCAAACTATCAGAAATATATAGTTGGAGATTTTCCAATAGTGACAGTAACTGTAGTAGCCATCCTGGAGGAAACTATGGTTACCATGGCAATGTGCTCTTTAAGGATGATCAGAATGATAAAATGAGTTGGCTCGTGTTTCTATGTGGGTAGTTTGGTAGTAGCACATTTCATCTACTGTAAAACCTTACAGTCATTAAACGTGAAAACAGGAAGAAAACACACTTACATTGTCCACTGCAGCTTTTCATTTTTAATAGAGTTGTACAGGGCCTGCGGAGAGAGCGAGAGAGAGAGAGTGAGTAAGTCACAGAGAGAGTGAGTAAGTCACACCTGAGCTGTAAATGACTGTGTTTGGTTTCACAGACTGGCGTATGAGTTGCATCATATATATATTCTGCTGTAAGTAGCATCATAATCAGACTGTGACAGATGACACACCTCAAAATAAACATCTGATTCAGTTATAGCCACACGGTCTACACAAATAAATGCCATTCTGGACATCAACACCTAACAATCAGTGAAGCATCAATTTAACTCCACAACCAATAATCCAAACGTTTTCCAACCATAAATTTACATAAGAGATAAGTGTTTAAGCTTGTTCGGTTTTTGTACTTGTTTCTAAATGGCAGTACATAATGAAGAAAAGCTAAATCATTAAAAATATATATATAATCATAATATAGAAATATAAAAAAAAAATTATTAATGAAAAAAATATAACAACATTTTAAATAAACATAAAAACAAAACATAAATTAAAAATAAAAACATTAATTCAAATAAAAAAACACTGAATTATCTTTTAATAAAAGAGCTAAATAAAAGACAAAACGATCACAGATGGCTGTTAGTCTCCTCAGATCATTAGCTCTTAATTGACACATCATCGGTGTAAATGACGAGTCTGTGCGGACGTCAGTCATCAAACACCTGCGTCACAGTGGAATCCTGTGTTTGCAACTTCATTATCTACACAGATTCCCCGACAGAGTCAAAGACTGTGCCTATATTCGACAAAACCTCAAAGATAAAAATGATTCATAAATTAAATAAATGTTTTATTTTTTTATTCTATAAAGCATAGCTGTATGATTTGGCTTAGAGGTCATCATAAGACGCACAGTATATAAAAGCAACAGAAGTCCTAATTCAGATGCCAAGCTAAATATGCATGAGAGAAGGACTTTAATAAGCATATTATTCCCTCCACACGTCTAGAAAAAAAGAAACCTCAGCATGAACAGCTAATAATCTCAGCGTGTACTAGAAATTCAGCAGCAACAGAGAGCAAATTTACCCTCTCGGTCCCTCAGGGCAAAACAAACAGCATCTCCCCACCAATGCTCATTTCAAACAAAACCAATTCAGCTAGAGATTTCTTTTAGTTCATGTCTATTAGCTTTGAGGCAATCTATAAGCTACTGCACTCCTAAAAGTACACTACAGTTTGATTCACTCTTAAAAATAAGCATTGCAACAGGGGGATTCTGCAGCAGTGTCATAGAAGAACCATTTTTTGGGTTCCAAAAAGAACTTTCAATGACCAGTTCCTAAAAGAAATTTTTTTTTCTTCTTACATTTAAAAACTCTGTAGAATCTTTTTCCACTATAAAGAACCTTTTGAACAATGGAAAGGTTCTATGGAACCATTAATAGCAATAAAACGCATTTATTTTTAAGAGTGCATGGTGTTTAAAAAGACAAAATCAGAACTGTATCTGATCAAAAGTGGCTGCACGGTCCATCTATGTAATTTTTTGGCCTTTTTGGGCAGCAGACAAGTACAGATGACCAGGTGAGTGATGAACAGGTAAGTGAAGGTTACCCTCTTCCTCTTGCGGGCCTGCGGGTGGTTCTGTCCATCTTGAGCTTTTCCCAGGAGGTCCGGAAACGCCAGAGGTTTGAGCGATCGGGATCTGGGCGTTCGCGGGTAACGGAACGGGTCCATCATACGGAAATCTCGCCCGTATCGAACAGAGCAGAGCGAGCGGGAGCGAAAGCGCCCGGCAGAGTGCAGACTGTTCACTCCAATCATGTTCGAAGCTGTGGTGCACTATGGGAAATAATCAACTCCAGTTGGGGTTTGGCTCTTCAAATGAGTTCACTCCAATGTTTAGCAGCAAATGTTCAACTAAAAAAAGCTTAAGAGCCTTCCTGTAGGTCACGGGTTCGATTCCCAGATAAAGCAAGAACTGATTTTAGTGAATCACTTTGGGTTAAGAATCTGCCAAATGCATAAATGTGAATCTTCAATTCAAGAAACACATGAAAAAACCCAATATGGCTTCCTCTGTTAACAGATGAGGTAACTCCAAAGACAAAAAAGCAAGAAAATCTGGCTTAAAAATGAAGGAAAATCCAAGTGTTTAGATAGACTGATGAGAAAAATAAATGTTACAGGTCATTTTTTGAATCAGGTTTGTAAGTCCAGCACAGATTTGCGGTCTCTTTGCGATCACTATATTTGGCTTGAGACCGTCATCTTAATTTCTAATCTTAAACATGAAAGCAATATGAAAAATGTTCAGCAACGGCAACAGGGTGTCTGTAACCATCTGTTTGACAATATCACAATACATTACACATTACGTTTGTGAGACGCTCAAACTGGAGAATCAAGTAATTCAGAGCAAAATAAAAAGGACAGTGATCCTGAAATGTATGATATTTCCCTTGCGTACTCTGAACACATGTAACAGTCGATAACAAACACCAACTTCTACAAGCTAAACATTGCAACCAGCGAGCGGCCAAACACACACACACACACAGTGATGCCACAGATGGCACGTAAAGCTTTCAGAAGTGTGAAAGAACAGCCAGGATCCGACAGATGGAATGAGGCGAACGGAAACCGGGAGAAAACATGAAACACACACAACGCCCTCACAAAAGACACAAACAGTGCGGCACACAGGAATCCCCACACCTGCACCGGCCCAAACGACGAGACAAACTCAGCACGCAATGCAAAACAATCCGAGATGAAGACGGATGGGAGCCTGTTGCTTCTGAGCTTCAGCTGGTTTTCTTTCTTCTTTCTTGGAAGGACCAAGCACTTTCAGAAGATGTGCATCACTCCCTTTGCATCCGTTTATCCATCAATCCATCTGGGATCCATGATAGGTCTGACGGATTTTTTGGGAAGTGCGTGTGGATGCGGTCTCCTCCAAACTGAGTCACAGATACGTGTCCGTGGACGATCAGCAAATGTCCACTTCCTCTCGTCGTCTTTCAGGCTCTGCAGATGAAAAGTCTCTAAATCTCAGAGAGACTCGGAGGAGGCTGCAAGCTCGCTCGCTCGCTCTCTCTCTCTTTCAGGTTTCAGCCAATCACAGCGATCCAGCGCCCTCAAACACACACACACACACACACACACAGCTTGCTTCGCTTTGAATGCTGATTAACATTCAGCACTTGTGCTCAGAGGTGGGACAGCGAGAGAGAAGAACATGAAATTATGGAATTATTATGGGAGAGAGATGAACACAAAGAACATCATAAAACTACAAGTGTGACTGGCGAATAGTCTATAAAAATACAGTCTATTAAAAAAAAAGCATTGAGATGAGATGGGGGTGAAGCTCATTAAACCAAATCCAGATCATATTTCACACCATAATCAAAAGAAATTTTTTTTTAATGACATATAAAAATAATAATTATTATTTGTATTTATTTTATTTTATTTTATTTTCACATTACAATAATGGCAATGTTTTTTTTTCTTTTAATTTGGGGTGAAATACAATACGACCTTCTTGACAGGTTTTATTAGATTTATAATTATTTTGCTGTGCATATTTACTGCTAATGTGTATGGTTTAATAATGAAACATTTTAACCCAATTTACTTCACATATTTTTAGTTAATTCATAATGGATTAAGTCATAAAAATAATAAATAAATATCCATATCCTTATCTAAGCACATTAAATATGCAAATAGAAAATAGTTTTCTTTTTAACTAAAGTAACACTGTATTTATCATAACATTACCATTTATTACTAAATATTTAATATTTATGCAATAGCATATAAAATACATAATATTAATAAAATAAAATGTCTTTAATAAACACATGTATGTATAAGTCTCTATATGAGATATGCTTGGTAACATCAAAAATAAAGTCATTTCAGAACAAGCTTGTATTTCTTTCAAGATTTCTTAATTAAGAAAGTATATTAGGAGAAATTTTGATTTACAATGATGACTTCGGCTCTTATACTGCTACACTTGCACTTAAACTGCAGATGCATTTAAATATGGCTCATTTATTATTCATCATACTGTAACATATTCGAAAATATATCTTGGGCAAAAGTGATCTGCATTTTTATAGTTATAATATCCTAAAATATTACGAAAATCTTTCATATCAAAGAATAAAATTTTAGCATTACTAAAGTTGAACTGAAAAATTATATGAATCTAGTTCGTTTCCCTTTGCTTTAATTGTTTTAATGAAATTTAAATTCAGCTTAAATGAGCATTTTCTTGCACATCTTTACTCAAACTGTTTTCAACAAATTTGAAAACACAAAAAAGCATGATTATTGCTGACCGCCTCCATGCAATTTATTGGCCTGGACGATATATCTGTCTATCTAGAACAGCAAGTCATGCAGTGCAGGGACTGAATGGACGTCACCTGCACGGCCGTCTCGTCTGGACTGAGTTGAGGGAGTTTGCTCAGCAGGACAGAGATAATTGTTCCCCCCGTCTATCGTTATCTCCTCAGTAAAATGGGACGCCGTCAGCCCGTGACCACCCTATCAGTGCCACAGCCTCGGCCCCGCCCCTCCGTCTCCATGACGACGACGCACTTCAAGCACTCCTCACTAGCGTGTGCAAAAGCCCACAAGCAACCCACGTGTGAGAGACAGGCACAAATCCACCGTCTTTCACCGCTGCACTAAAGAAATGCCTCCTGCGGGGGGGCACACAGAAAATCTTTGCATTTGACCTCATTTTTTTTTTTTTCATATTACAGATGTGACTCAATGTAAACACGTGAAACAATTTTGTCTGAATAAATGCATGTGCACAATACATTGCTTGCTTTAGCCTTCAGATGCTGGTGTTTACATTTACTGTAATGATTACAGTCTAAATAAATACATAAAAAAAACATTCCCACACTGGAAATATAACAGGAAGTAATACAAAATTATTTATTAAACAATAGAAATATTATAAGTTATTTTATGAATAAACAAATACACCGAGCCCTTTAAATAAAATAAAAACACAAAATTAATCTTATAAATAATTTACAAAGTAATATAATATTATAAAGCATCATTTAAACCATATTATAAATAAAGAAAACTCTCTCTCTTTCTTGCTCTCTCTCTCTCTATATATGCATATATGTGCAGAGCGAGAGAATGAATAATGAAGTTATATATAAATTAATATAATATTAAATGATTATTTTTATTATAACAATTATAATATAACATTTATGCATATTTGTGTGTGTGTGTAGATATATATATATATATATATATATATATCTACACACATATATACACACATATACATACAGGTGCATCTAAAAAAAATTTGATTATCGTGAAAAAGTTCTTTTTTTTGTAACATTTAAAAAAATGAAACTTTCATATATTCTAGATTCATTACATGTAAAGTAAAACATTTCAAAAGTTTT